TATCTGAATAAATCTTTGGTTGATTTATACTGAAATTATAGATGTCTTTTGCCTGTTTTTAACTTGAAGAAATAAATCTTATCAGAAGAGGTATTGTGGTGGTGACTTCACTGGGGAAACAAATCTAACCAGAAGAGGCCTCTTGGTTACCTATTATTAACTAGAGGAAGTGAATCTAGCCAGAAGAGGGTTGTTGATTGCCTATCATTAACTGGAAGAAGTGAATCTAACCAGAAGAGGTCTTCGTTCACCTGTATTTAATCTGGAAGAAATAAATCTAACCATAAGAGGTATTTTGTCTTGTTGATTGATTGTTCCTATAAGGAAGAGGGCTAGTTGCATGCAAATGTATGCATGACATAATGATGTTCTCAAAATAAATGAGATCATGTTGTATGCATTTGTCATGTATGTGCAATGATGTATTAATATGAAATGTTGTTGAAGCGTATTTTTGTCTGGAAAATAAATCCTTGACAAATGATGGGGATTTTTGGGAAGTTAAATCCTGGATTACTGTTGGGGATGAAGATTATGTGCATCTTCAAACCTTATTGAGAGTGTTTATGCTGGGGATACCTGCTTTGTTGTTTTAGGAGAATTCTGCTGGGGAACATTGACTTTGCTTGAGAAAACTCTGCGGGGAGTGTTGATTTTTGCTCGGGGAATAAAGTTCAGGAGTTTTAGTTGTCCATTGCTCTACTGGGGAGGATAAAAGTTAGCTTTTATCTGGTCGGATTCTAGGTTTCACAGTAACTTGCTGGGGAAAATAAAGTTAACTGTTATCTGGTCGTATTCCAGGCTTCACGGCAACTTACTGGGGAAGATGAAGTTTAGCTATTATCTAGTCGGATTCTAGCCTTCACAACAACTTACTTTGGAGGACAAAGTTAACTGTTATCTGGCCTGGTTCCAGGCTTCACAACAACTTAAATTAACTGTTATCTGGTCGAATTCCAGGCTTCGCAACAATTTAGATGAAGTTAACTGTTATCTGGTCAGATTCCAAGTTTCACAGCAACTTAGATGAAGTTAAACTATTATTCTGGTTGGATTCTAGGCTTCACAGTATCTTGCTCAGAAGGATGAAAGTTAACTGTTATCTGGTCAGATTACAGTCTTCGCAACAACTTAAATGAACTGTTATTTGGTCAAATTCCAAGCTTTGCAATAATTTAGATAAAATTAACTGTTATCTGGTCAGATTCCAGGCTTCGCAGCAAACTTGTTCGGGAGGATGAAAGTTAACTATTATCTGGTCGAATTCCAGGCTTCGTAACAACTTAAATGAATTGTTATTTGGTCGGATTCCAGGCTTCACAGTAATTTAGATGAAATTAACTATTATATGGTCGGGTTCTAGGCTTCATGGCAAACTTGTTCGGGAGGATAAAAGTTAATTGTTATCTGGTCGGATTCCAGGCTTCGCTGCAAACTTGCTCGAAAGGATGAAAGTTAACTGTTATCTGGTCGGATTCTAGGCTTCGCAACAACTTTTGGGGATTGTAACAACTCCGTTGGGGATTAGAGGTCTTATACATTTATTTGTAATGGTATGAGGAAAGACTTGTATTGGGGAATTTGTAGTTTGTTGGGGAACTAAACCCAGTTGAAGAGAATATTTAACGACTTAATGGGGAAATGAATTCTTTAGGAATAACTCCACGAGGCTTCTTTTTTAAGACCAACTCAGCTGGGGAGAGGGGTTCTAAGAGATTGGAACTCTGAATGTATGAATTTAACTCAGTGGGAAGAGTTTTATTGAATTAACTCTATGAGGATATCCCAAATCCTTAAGGAAATGCTTATTGTTGTTTTTATGCATACATTTGTTAAAAGTTAATCATGTTCATATGCATATGTTCATTCAATTTTAGTCATTGGACACTTTTGCACTCAAAACAGAAAAACAAAAAGTTTGCACTTCAAAGTATATTTGTATTGATGCTTTTCCCACTAATAGGCATTTTCGTACAATGAGACAGATCCTAGTAAGAGGAAATCGTCGAAAGAATACAAAGTGAAAATAAAAATAATAGCCATGTGGAAGTGATCTCATTGTGTTCCAACTCCGCTATTGCCCCATGTCTTAGAACATCATCCCTTGCTGTTGAAAGTAGTTAATTGAATTGATCTTATACCATTGAACTTGAACCTTGGTAATAAAACTGGTTGTAGTGATTTCACGGGACATAGTCATACACTTTAATCCTTTACTTTTTCCCGGACCACCCTTTCGGATTTTCAGCCCACCAGGATACCCTTTTTTGCCCAATCCGCCCTTGGCTTTTCGACTTGTCGGGTGTATAATCTTTTGTATATATCCTTAGTTTTTTTCCTAAACCTCTTTGGTTCGTCGGGATGCCCTTGTTTTTGCCTAGGTATGTCAACCTAGCGGGTCATTTTTATGCGCAATATTTTTTGACTAGGTATGCGTTCACAGGATGCGGGAAATCTTCGTTGTCCATTGTAGTTAGCATCATAGCTCCGCCAGAGAATAAATTTTTAACAACAAATGGCCCTTCGTAAGTGGGAGTCCATTTTCCCCTGGGATCGCCTTGAGGAAGAATGATGCACTTTATTACCAAATCTCCAGTCTGATACACTCGAGGCTTGATCTTTTTGTTGAAAGCCTTGATCATACACTTTTGATACATTTGACCATGACAAACAGTAACTCGTCTCTTCTCATCAATCAATTTTAAATGATCTTATCTAGTTTAAATCCATTTGTCTTCGCCTAAATCAGCTTCTTTCATAATCCTTAAGGAAGCAATCTGAACTTCCATAGGAAAAACAACTTTCATGCCATAGACTAAGGAGAATTGGGTTTCCCCAGTCAAAGTTCGAGCCAAAGTACAGTAGCCATGAAGAGAAAATGTTATCATCTCATGCCAATCTTTGTAGGTTACCACCATCTTTTGCACAATCTTCTTAATGTTCTTATTGACAACTTCCATTGCGACATTCATCTTAAGTCTGTACGGAGAAGAATTGTGATGCTTGATTTTGAACTGAGTGCAGTTCCATAATCATAGGATTGTTGAGATTGGTTCCATTATCATTGATGATTCTTTCAGGGATACCGTAACGGCAAATGAGGTTACGTTTGATAAACCAAGCTACCACACTCTTTGTAACTGAGGCAAACGAGGCAGCTTCGACCCATTTGGTGAAGTAGTCAATGGCAACAACAATGAAGCAGTGTCCATTAGAGGAAGTGGGCTTGATCTCTCCAATCATTTCAATGACCCACATTTAAAATGGCCACGGAGCAGTTATGGCATTCAAAGTAATTAGAGGCACGTTGTGATACGGTGGGAGAACTGACTTGAGGGTTTTGCATTTGATCGCAAATGTTGCGATTGTTGCACCCCAAAATTTTCCCTCCTAATTTCTTTTATTTTGGCTTAGACTTTTGCATTCATCTGCATCTATTTCATTAGGTCACTAACATGGCATACATTTCATTCAATATAGCTCTGAGGTTCAAAGTCCAGTGGTTGTGCGATACTAGGGTTTCCCAGTGGTTAAGGCGCTCATATCCAATAAGGGATGATTTCTTATTCAGGAAGCAAGCTGTGGAATTAGGGTTTTGGTTCATTCTCTTTTTTGGATTTCTTCTCCATCAAGCTACAAGGTTATTATCTTTTGTTGAATAATAAGTTACAGGGTATTCCTGTCAATAACATAAGGTTGTGATCTCGCGTACATGATTCAAAACACCTCATTCTATCATTGTGCTTGTCATTTGGTCAAGGTTTTGTCAATACTAGAGGTGTATTAAGATCTTCTCTAAAGGATCAAGATCTGTTATCAATCCAGGATGCATATGATGCTTGCATTACAGGTTGTTGACTATGTCATTGTTGCATTAAGTTCATCTATCCTTAAGTTAATCAATTAGGATTGGGTACGTCATGATTTAAGATATTTTGTATGGTAAATTTGGTTGCTTGACGGTCAAGGTATTGCGAATAATTGGTACAAGCTATTGTTTGGATATTTGTGCAAGAACTTTGGTTTCAAACATGGATTAAGGTTCAACTTGATAAAAAAGGAAATAGCATGCCCGAAGGTTTATTTCATAAATTCTTGCGGAGGAAGATGGCACATGAATATAAGTTGAGATTAAAGTACATGGTATCAAGAATCTCTTCATGATTCAAGTTGTTATTTTCAAGATTATCCCACATCATTGTTCACCCCAAGGTAAAAGATAAAAATATTCATTTAAATAACATTCGAGTGTTTATCATGTGTGTCTCAAGTTCATTCAAGTATCCATTCAAGCTCAAACTGAATGAGACAAATGTTTTGAATAATTGGAAATTTGTCATGCAAGAAGTTATAAAGTTTTGTTCATTACAAATTCAAGTCATTACACCGAAGTTACAAAAGACATCTCAGTCATCAAAGTTTCAAATTCCAAGTACAAATCATCATCATTTTTTTACAAATATCCGTCATCATTCAAGGTTAAAAGTCAAGGGTCTCCATTCATGCGAGTTTGAGGTGCGAGGTGTTTAGAATTGGAAGTTCAAACATCGAAATTTGAGTCTTGAGATCCAAAGCATGGTGTGCAAGTTTGTTTGAACCAAAGTTCTTATAGGAATATGGCATACAAGGAAAATTTTGATTCAAGTTCTTGTGAAACACATAAGACACTCATCATGGAGTACCATGGATTAAATTTGAGGTCGGATGGGTAGAATTCCTTAATTTGACTAAAAAGTGATCAAGGCCTCCATTTACCAAAAGCTAAGAAACTTAAAGAATGTTTAGAAATGGCATAATTCAAGAGGATCCATCTTGTAAAAAAAGCTCATAAATAATAGACATGGAATTTTGAATTGTAGCAAGTTTCAACATATTCAAGTTCTACCAGTTACATCTCATTCAAGCCTCTGCTTTGACTACATAATTCTCAAAATATACAAAAGGCTACAAATTTACAAAAAGAAATAAAATTCTATTACAAGTCGGAACTATTCCCATCCATGGTCATTCAAATTATTCAAATTACTCAAGTTCAATCATTCGAGCGTCTTTCATTCACTCATGTTACAGTACATGTCATTTCAAGATTACAAAACAAAGCTACAAAGGCCCTATTGAAACTTAGGGGCATTAATTATAAATGGCATGAGTTTTTAAATAACAGCAACAAAGTTGTAGTTGTTATGCTATGGTTACCTGTTGTGCTGATATACTTCATGGATTTGCAAATATGGTATTCGATTATCTCTGCCGTTGTTGGTGGTACGATTGGTTTGTTTTCACATTTGGGTGAAATTCAGAATATCTCACAACTAAGGCTTCAGTTCCAGTTCTTTGCCAGTGCAATGCAGTTCAATCTAATGCCAAAGGAGAAGCTACTAAGTCAGCAGGCAACGTTGCTGAGGAAGTTTCGCGATGCCATCCATCGGTTGAAATTACGATACGGACTTGGTAAACCCTTCACAAAAAATGAATCAAGCCAAGTGGACGCCACCAGGTATGCTTTAATATGGAATGAGGTTATCATAACTTTCAGGGAGGAAGATATCCTTAGTGATCGAGAACTAGAACTCTTAGAACTGCCACCAAATTGCTGGAAAATTAGGGTAATTCGATGGCCGTGTTTCCTTCTATGCAATGAGCTACTACTTGCTCTCACTCAGGCAAAAGAGCTGGAAAATGAGTCTGACACATCACTTTGGTTGAGGATATGCAAGAGTGAGTATCGCCGGTGTGCTGTCATTGAAGCTTATGATAGCATTAAATGCTTATTTCTTATGACTCTTAAAGTTGATAAGGTAGAGTTTTCCATTGTGACTAATATATTCAGGGAAATAGACTACTACATTCAGGAGAGCAAGCTAAAATATTATGCCACATTTGGAATTGGGGATAGCAATGAACTCATACTGGACTCTTATTTAACTTCTGAAGTATTTGTTAATGAGCGTATATAAGTTAGGCCAGATCATATAGCAGCAGTTGCTTCCCTCCGGTCAGGAATTCCAGTTCAGCAGCTCACTGCTGATGAAAGTAGTCTTCTGTTGGATCTTGATAATAAACTTCGGGAACGGGTGATTGGACAAGAGGATGCTGTTTCTGCCATTTCTAGAGCTATGAAGAGATGCCGGGTTGGCCTTAAAGATCCCAGTAGACTCATAACAACTTTGCTATTCTGTGGTCCAACTGGAGTTGGGAAAACTGAACTTGCAAAATCTTTGGCGGCATGCTATTTTGGATCAGAGAGGAACATGATACAGTTAGACATGAGTGAATATATGGAACGCCATTCAGTGAGCAAGTTGATAGGATCTTCCCCGGGTTATGTTGGTTATGGAGAAGGAGCATTCGAGCTGCCGTGCCTTACTTAGAGATGATAAGGTGGATGATCTCTCTAGGATGTATAGACTTTACCATAAAATACCTAAAGGACTGGATCCTGTTGCCAATGTATTTAAGCAGTCAATCAATTGGAAAAGTTTCAGTCTTTATCGACTTCAAGAGATTCCTTTCTGCATTCTCAACAACAATATCACCAAAGGCCCCAGCAATTTCAACAGCTAGAACAATATTCACAATCACAACAACAGTTTCGGTAGAAACTACATAGTCAGCAGCCTCAGCATTTGGTCAATGACGATGGTTTCAATCAGTCTCAGTTGTCTTCCAATCTAGAAAACCAAGTGAAGATAGAGCCTGGAATTGAACACGATAAAGAAGTGCTCAATTCTCATGTTCCTGAACAGTTCCATATGTCTGAGATGCAGAATCAGTTCCAGCAAAATTCCTCTGAAGATTGTTCTAGGAGTGCTCAATACCTTTCCTTTCCATCTGGTCAGCACGATTTATCGTCATCAGCACTTCAAAATTTGCAACAAATGTTGCATCCACACCAATTAGTTGCAGAATATCAAAATAAGTTCAGCTGTCTTATAGTTGGTGCACAATCCAATTCTAAACCAGTAGTTCTAAACCAATGGCCTGACTCACAAGATGGTAACCACATGTCTAACAATATTTCACACGACCAGCATCTCCATGTGCATTTTCATCAAAGAATATCAGGAAAGGATGAAGCTCATTGCAATAACTTATCATCAGATGTATCTATGAGCCAAGCTGTTGCTCCTAGAGGCGCAGCTGATCCACCAGACTCAGGAAGTGATCTCAAAAATGCGCACAAAAATCAACAAAGGTGGCTCTTATTTCTACTTCATGCGCGACGATGTTCTGCTCCTGAAGGACGATGCCAAGAACACTGTTGTTCTAGTGCACAGAATTTATGCAAGCACATAGATGGATGCACCCTAGGTCGTCATTGTCCATACCCGCATTGTCATCATCATAGGGTATTGCTTCGTCATTTCATGCACTGCAAGGATCCGTGTTGCCCTGTTTATGTTTTTGTAAGAAATTACCGACGCGCATTTCAACTTAAAGCTCAGATTCAGCCAGAATCTCAATCAAGTTTGCCAAGTGTGGTAAATGGATCGTGTAAATCTTACAATATTACAGCTATGTCATCCAGATTGATCTCAAATCCTACATTAGTTGTGGAAACTTCAGAAGGCTTGCACCCATCTCTAAAACGCATAAAAACTGAGCTGCACACTAATACAAACGCTAGCAATCAACACAAGACTAAGCTTGGTGGGAAAGCTAAAACTTCAAAACGGCAATTTATCTAATCAGAATAAAGAGGCGGTACAAGTTGAATTAACTGACAAATGGTATCCTAATATGCCATTTTTGGATGTTCCTTTGTCAAAGCAGCTGGCTGCGGGAAGAATTGTTTGTAGGATAGAAGCTTAAAGAATGGGAAACAGAAGATTAATTAACAGCTCATCTATTTCCTCCTAACAATTTTATAACTCTCTAACTACCTCCAAACAGAATTCCCAACTAGCATAACCACCTTGTAACAAACTCTCAATATCACCCTTCAATCTCTAACAAACTCTACCCAAATCAATGGTTCGGATCAATTCACACATAACCATTTCCATCTTCCTCAACTACCTATATAATCCAAACTCCCTCCAAGTTTCGAAAAACGAAGTTACTCTCTCTTTTCCAGTTTCAAAACTTCATCATTGTATCAGCTTCAAAACAACTTCTTCCCTCTCCATCATTCACTCTCAATTTTTCTGAACTCTCATAATCTTCAATTTCCCCTCTCTAAGCTCCATCTTCTCCTCCACTCTCCATTGTTCGACCTTCAGTTAGTTCTCAAAGCTTCACTTCTCTCTGATTCATCATACAAAGTTCATTTTTCTCAACTTGCGATAATCTTCATAATTGTCATCATTTCCTCTCTTCTCCTATCGCCAACGCACGCAACTCCCAGACCAAAGAAAAAGTGAAGACAGTGATGAGAGAATCAAGACGAAGCAGACAAGATCAAGAAGGACAATAACTGTATTACTTCATCTCTGGATTTCTGAAGCGCTACCAAAGTGTCTTCAATAGGTAACCCTCAATCTTCTTCTGTCTATGATTTTTTGCTTGGTCTGTACCATAATCGCGAAGGGTAAAATGCGGCGAACGATAAATCCACCATGTAATCTTGATCGGAAGAAATGTGGAGCTTAAGTTTCGTTGTTAGATTCGGAATAGAGGAAGAGAAATTGACAAAAGCAAGCAAAGGAGTCGAATTCAGAGGGAGACGTTAGGTGGTGTTAACAAGAAAGTTGAATCGGAACAGGGGAGAAGGAATGGAGTCATTGCGGCATCGCCATTGTTGTTGTCGACATGTAGAAGAAAGGCTTTCTGCGTAAAGGAGCTGGAGAGAGTCGTTTACAGTAAACGCCGTCGTTTTGGAATTCTTTTATTTATTTTTCTCCTTTTATTATTATTCATTTATTTAATTGTTATTTCAAATGGTTAAATCAAAAAAAGAAAAGAAAAGAGGAGAACTTATTATATTCTTTTTATTATTTTGCCTTTGGGAATTAATTCATGATTATTCGGTTACTCGAAACTGGTAATTCACTTTGCTCGTCAAGGTTTGAGTCTTATGCAGGTTTTTATATGGATATGCTCGAGATTCTGATTGTGATTTATTTTCACATTAAAAGATGCTTCAGTAATGGGGTTTCTGACTCTTTTCTTTGTTGGTGCTAGCAGCTCGCAAGAACATCAAGTATCTTTGCTTTTTCTGCTTTGCTCTACGGGCTAGTATCCGTTTGGTATACTTTCTTTCTATTTTTACCTCGCATTTATCTTTTCCCATAGATCATATGAAGTGTGATAGAATCAGGTTTAGGCTAGTCTCCCTATAACTTTTCTTTCCCTTTTCGCATATGCATTTATAATAACAAAAATTTCTTTTTTTTTACAAACTTCAAAAATACAAAAAAGGGAAATTTACTGACAAGAACCATGTCTTGGCTGAGTTTGAGAGATGATAAGCGGGTTTCTTCTCGACCTTATTATTCCCTTATTCTGAGCTTTGGTATAGTTCAAGTCTCAAAGACTCATTCCATGAATAAGTAGAGAAATGGCTAAAATCTCTCTCTTGAGGTCAACTAGCTGTTACCTACAAACAAAAACACCGACAAATACAAACTATTTTTGCCTCTGGGCCTTCCTTTCAAACCTTTTTCAAAAGAACATGTTAATTCACTTATGTGCTGACGCGTAAGTCTCTAAAAGTCGAGTTGCGGCAGAAGGAGAAATTAATATCATTCATCACAAAAACAAACAAGTTCAAACCTTTTTGTGCGTCCAGGCACATTTCTTTCCAAACTTTTCAAGAGAGCATGTTAATTCACTTCTGTGCTGACGCGTAAGTCTCCGAAGGTCGAGTTGCGGCAGAAGGCGGGATTAATATTGTTCATTAAAAAAAATACAAACAAACAAAAACATGAGCCGAACTACGGCTGCTCTGATTCCTAACAAGGGATATGTAGGCATCGAGGTAGGGCCCGAACGAGCACAATTTTAATTTTCCCTACATTTCCCCCCCTTTTTTTTTGCATGCATTCCCTCCAGTAGTATAATAAACCGTAAGCATAGATTAAACACACCCATAAGATAGACAACAAGAGTGGATACCGTAGAGTACTACGGGCGTGTGGGGTGATAATACCTTCCCCTCACGTAACAGACTCCCTTACCCTTATCTCTTGGTCGTTCGACCTTGATTTCACCCTTTTCAGGTTTCCTCGATGTTTACCTTTCCCTTCATGTGGGATAAAAGACGTTCGATGGCGACTTCATTGTTTGATGATTTTTAGCCGGTTGTTTCAGCGATTAGCAAGAGTCGCCACCGACTTTTCTTTTATCCAAAAGGAAAGGTGAAAAAGCACAAGAAAGACCTTTGAGATTATTTCTTGATTTCGGGGGGTAGATTATGAAAAGCATCCTTTTCATCCATGGTTTTCCATGGGCTCTTAGTTACTTGCTAGATCACTTGCTTTTGTTTGAAATTGTGTTTTGTGCGGTTTTTGAAAGTATTTTGTAAAGAGGCCATTTGTTTAGGCAATCTTTGTAATGATTCTCGTTCGTAAGAATGTATACAAAGATGTTGATCTTTTGAAAATGTTTTCAAGTTTCGTAAAATGTTTTAAAAGTGTATGTGTTTGTTTTGAAAATAGAAAGGATATTTGTTTGAAATTGAGCAAGTAATTAGGAGCATTCTACCTACTCAAAAGTCTTTCTTGTTCATTTTCTTTTCCTTTGACATTGTTGTCTTACCATTGATTTAGTAAGAAACCATATCTTTGGATGTAAACGGGACGGGCGTGGGTCATCGTATAACCATGATTAGCAATGTTGCAAGGTATCTTAGCATTTTTCTTTGAGGGACTTAAGATCATTTGAAAGGCAACTTAGATAGCGTCATCGAGGGACTATGATCTTGTATTTTCTTGTTTTTGCTAAGATACATCACATGCGTAATATGGTCATTTTGTATAAGGCAACCAAGTGGAATAACCCTACAGGTGCTTGTGTGCAAGTTGTGATACGGTGGAAGAACTGACTGTTTTTTGGAATGCTGGTTTGTATTTTGCGTTTGTTTTCGCAAAATGTCGCGGTAAGCAAGAGTCGCCACCGATTTTTATTTTATCCAACAAGGAAAGGAAAAAAGCACAGAAAAATTCCTTTTTCGAGATATTTCTGAGTACGGGGGGTAGATTTATAGAAAGGGAAGGTATTAGCACCCTTTCTATCCGTAGTTATCTACGGGCTCTTAGGTACTTGCTCATCGTTTTCAAAATTGTTTTCTTTGTGTTTGTGGGTTTTGAAAGGTTTTTATTTTAACTTTGATTTAACTCTTGCGTTCGTCTTCAAGAGTGTAATGAAGTGTTTTTGAAAAAACTTGTTCGTAAAAGAGTGTAAGTGTGAAAAAGTTTTGTTTTGGATGAGAAAGTATCTAAGAACTAATCTACCTACTCAAAAAAAGAATCGTTCTATGATTATTTCCTTTAGACAGTGCTATCCCACTATTAGTGAGTAGGTAGCATCGTCGTTGGAGTTTGAGGGTCAATTCGAAAGAGGGACATACAATCACTAAAGCAATGTTAGGATGTCTTAGTGGTAACCCTAATGTCTTAGATCATTTATCCGAGGCAACGATATCCGAGGCAACCTTTCTGAGGCAACTTATGATCTTTTAGACAAGAGGGCGACCTCTAAAATAACCTATACTCAATGACCGTTTACGAAGGCAACCAAGTGGGGTGTACCCTAGGAGTGCGCATGTGCGAGTGTGTTGATTTCAGATTATTTTTATCTTTGCACAATTAAGGGTGATCTAACTGTTTTAAGATTAATCATTCATTCTTGTCATGTAAGCCCTATTATCAAACATCTAGTAGTTGAATATTTGCAGAAATTAAAGGTGTGGAAATTAAACTAGGCTATTACAAGGCGTCGGGTATTTACATCGCCAAAAACAAACCCTTTGAAATTTAAAAGCGGTAAAAATAAAGAAATGTCCTAATTTAATTATTATAAACCGGGAGCAGATACAATAATCAAATAAGAAGTAAAGTTGTGCGCGCGAAAATTAGATCGAATGCGAAAACTAGGGTTTTGACCCTCCTAATTGATGAAAATTTTTTTTGTTGTTTTTATTTTTTTTAAGAAAAGAAATTAATTCCTAAAATTAAATGGAAAATTAATTGGTTATTAAATTAATTGATGAAAAAATAGTTAAATAACATATTTTTGGAGTTTTGTTAATTTAGGAAAATAATTAACTTAGTATAAAAACTAATTATTCTAATTAATTTTAATTATTTACAAAATCAATTAAAGTTATCTAACATAAATAACCTAATTATTTTAATTAATATTTATTGATGAAAAAAATAAAAATTATGATTTTAAAATATTTTTTGGTGATTTTTTTGATAAAGAAAATAATTAAATTATTGGTTAGTAAATAAATAAACAAAATAAATAAATGAAACAAAATAAAATATAAAGAAGGATAGGGATGCTTGGCCTGAAATAGGGTGTCAATAGTAAGAATTTTGGGCCCAAATGGAGGTCCATGTTGACTTTCTGGATCCCGCGCATGTGCATTGACTTGGTCTATGGTGGGATCTCAGTAGTAGCCACCAGATCTGGCCATCTGGCGCATGGATGATGAAGGTCCATGGTGGACGTTAAGCTCAAGCGTGCATGGGGTCCTGAAAAGAAAAAAATTATAGAGAATTTGGGGGGACCTGGGATTCGA